AATGCCCATCACCTAAGGGAGCACTGACCAGTATCTGTGGGCAACAGGCTGCACATCCCAGAGCAACTGTGAAACAGTGCTGAAGAAGGACACCAACTCACTTTGTTGCCCATGTCTTCCCAACCTCCCTCTTCTGCCCTTCTGGGTCTCCTCTTCCCCACAGAAAGCATTACTAGAAACAGGAACCTGTATACACTCACGGTTGGCCAGCGGGATGATCCCCTCAGTCACACCCCATCACACCACACAAACCACTGCATGGCTGGGGGAGGTAAAAGAGGTCAAGAAACCAAAACGGTTGCCAGGAACAAGCACTGCCACTCATGAGACAATTCATGTTGTCTCAGCATGAAGAGGACAATAAAGACAAATTCTACTCCTGAGTCACAACAGCTTGTAAGTTGTAGGTTTACTGCCCCTACCCTGATGAGTCTTACACTGCTTCTGTTTACCAAGCAGAGATCATCTCAAGCGAAAACAGAAACTGAGAGATGTGCTGACAAATCAAGTGACCACAAACACATATTTGAGAGAGGATGAGTCCAGTGCTTAAAATATAGTTAAGGTTGAACTTATAAATACCATGATTTACACAAGCAGGAGTTATTTGCGGCAACTTATGAACAAGAGAATCATGTACATTTCTGCAAGTGCTCACCCAAGGAATGCTGGAAGCAAGCCACCCACAGAACCAGGGAGAGGTCTGGACCAGACCTCCAGGCCCAGAGAGGTCTGGACCTAGAGACTTTCCAACCTTCAACGTCATGAAGTTGAAGGGGCTAAGAGCAGGGTTCTGCACCTGGGTCGGTATCAATACAGGCTGAAGGATGAAGGGATTGAGAGTAGCCCTGAGGAGAAGGACCTGGGGTACTGGTGGAAGAAGGATTGGACATGAGTGGGCAACGTGTGACTGCAGCCCAGAAGGCCAATCGTATCTTGGGCTGCATCCAGAGGGGCACAGCCAGCAGGTCAAGGGAAGTGATTCTTCCCCTCTACTTTGCTCTAGTGAGACCCCACCTGGAGTACTGTGCCCAGTTCTGGAGTCCTCAGCACAAGAAAGACATGGACCTGTTGGAGAGGGTCCAAAGAAGGGCCACAAAATGATCACATGGATGGAGCACCTCTACTACGAGGAACGGCTGAGTTGGGGTTGCTCAGCTTGTGAAAGAGAAGACTCTGAGGAAATCTTATTGTGGCCTTTCAGTTCTTAAAAGGGGCCTATAAAAGAGATGGAGAGAGATTTTTTTAACATGGCCTGTTGTGATAAGGGGTGATGATTTTGAACTAAAAGAGGGGGGATTCAGGCTGGATGCGATGAAGAAATTTTTTACAACGAGGGTGGCAAAATCCTGGCCCAGGATGCCCAGAGAGATGGTGGATGCCCCATCCCTGGAGATATTTAAGACTAGGATGGGCAGGGCTCTAAGCAAACTAATCTAGTTGAAGATGTCCCTCCTCATTGCAGGGAGCTTTGAAGGTCCTTTCCAACCCAAACTGTTCCACAATTCTATGCTTCCTTCTTCATCCTTCTGACCAAAGCATAAGTAACTACGAAAGTTATGTCAGCCAGTCTGGGGCTTTGCCCAAGCACATTTGAAGATGGAGATGCCACAGCTTCTCTAGGCATCCTGTTTTGGTGCTTAACCATTTTCACAAGGAAAATTCCCCATTCAGCGTTAAGACCACTGTTGTTTAATGTCTTCACTGATGATCTGGATGAGGGAATTGAGTGCACCCTCAGTAATTTAGTGGACACCACCAAGTTGGGTGGGAGTATTGATCTGCTGGAGGATAGGAAGGCTCTGCAGAGGGATTTGGGCAAGCTGGATCAATAGGCTGTGGCCAAGGGTATGAGTTTCAAAAAGGCAATGTGCCAGGTCCTGCATTTTGAGCCACAAGCACCTCATGCAATGCTCCAAGCTTGGGGAAGAGTGGCTGGAAAGCTGCTCATGGAAAATGATCTGAGGGGTGCTGAATGACATGAGCCAACTTTTGCCCAGGCAGCCAAGAAAGCCAACAGCATCCTGGCCTGTATCAGCACCAGTGTGACCAGCAGGGTCAGGGTTAGGGACATGATGATCTTAAAGGTCCTTTCCAACCTAAGTGATTCTAGGTTCTATGATTCTAACATCTCTTCTCAGCCTGCAAAAAAAACATCATGCCAGCTTCAGGATTCCCACATCTCCAGTAAATGCCACTGGGAGTTTCTATCCCATCTCTTACCTGCAGCCTTAGTTTCAGTTGTTTATTAACAGAATAAACTGTCAGCATCCAAACAGAGCACAGAGTGCTCCACTAACAATTATTAGCATAGAAAGTGGACAGCTTTGAGCAAATTCAACCAGAACTCCTCAAAGCACACTTCCTGAAACCCACTGCACCTATGACTTTTTTGAGATCCTTGTTTCAAATCCCAATTGCTCACATTTTAAACCTAAATGTGAAAAGCTGTCACAAACTCCAGCAAGAGGAACACAGTGAATAACACCTCACTACTCTGTACAGCAGAAACAAAATAACAAGCTATAGAACAGAGACTTCACATCTGAAGTACCCCTTTTGGAAAAGAGCTCAGAAAGACTCTTCTTCCTCTCCCCTTACTAGCAGGCTTCCTTCCAGTTGAGTTCCCAGGGGCATGCTTTGCCCCCGGGCCACTTTAAAACTTCATTTCCTCCAATCCCAGCTTTAGATTTCTGGACTTTTGTTCCTTTAAGCTGAAGCCACCATGGCACAATAAACACTGAAGGGCTTCTTAAGAAGAGATATAATAGTGAACTGCAGCAGAGACAACACACAAAGCCTCCAACAAGCACACTTTTAAAGATGAGACATGCAAGAGCAGCTTCTTGAGTGGCAGACAGAAAGCAGCTACAACATCAATCAACAATTCCAAATACCGGTGCCACAGTGGGATTAGAAATTGGAGCACGCTCTACCAGCAAGAGAAACAAAGTACAGGAAGGGCTAAGACATCAGCCAAGCTCTCGAAGGCTCCCCGCTGCCTGCCTTCAGATCACAGTTCACGTTCATATTGCTATAGTGTACACACAGCTCCCCATCTTTGAAAGTATTCTGGGAAAGTAATTGTAACTACAGAATACAGCAAAAACAACAATGGACTAATAATATAGTCAACTCGGATATTGGGAAACAAGTGGAAAATTCCATTATCCCTCTGTAAGACTGATCTAGAATGATTCTAGGTCAGTGACCTGTCATAATGAGGTTTCTTTGTAAAACTGTTCCTGTAAATTATTTCAATTTCAGCAATCACATAAACTTCCTGCTCTTCCCCCACCACTTCCCCCTGTATTGGGATGGGGAGAAGAATCAAAAGAATGTAAACCTCATGGGTTGAGATAAGAACAGCCCAGTAACTAAAGAACAATACAAAACTACTACCACTACTAAAAATAATGATAAGGGAAATACCAAGGGGAGAGAACATAAAAGTAAAAAGGGAAGAGGGAAAAAACCCAAAACCACAATAAGCAGCAGTGATGCACAATACAATTGCTCATCACCCACCAACAGATACCCAGGCCGACCCAAGCAGCAATCAGTCCCTTTCGCATGACTCCCCCAATCCCTCCTCACTGGCAGAGTGTGAGAGACTGAAAAGTCCTTGATCACAGTAAACATTTCTCAGCAACAACTAAAACATTCATTTCTTATCAGCGTTGTTCCCAGACTAAAGCTAAAACAGAGCACTGCACCAGCTACTAGGAAGGAGAAAAGTAACCGTTGCAGATAAACCCAGGACAGATCCCTAAAACAGCTAGAGTTCAAATGTTATTCTTGAGGGACTGGATTAATTAACTGCACTTCATATCTTCTCCTGTGGGGCTCTCCCTTTCCAGGATAGTTAGCTCTGCAATGTTCATCCTTTAGCAACAAAAAATGCCAAACACATACACATCAGGCTGATACCTTTATAATGATTAAAGATTTGACCTGCAGTAACGGTAGAAACTCTGCCCTTGTTAGAAACACCCCTTTATTGCTTCCCAACTTCCTTAATGTTGCTTTAAAGGAACTCTATATATATCCTCATTCTGTTACATATTGGATCAAAATACTGCCCAACAGAATGACCACAAGACATGATCCAAACCCCACTGCCAGCTCAGCTCCCTGAGGTGCCACTTCGCAAGTGATGGCTGCTTCTAATGTTACTGAGAGGATCTGCTGCTGTGGCAGTTCTTCCACTTAATCCTGGTCAAGTAGTAGACACTGACAGGGCAAACACAGCCTCAACAACAGCCTACAATATTAAATAGTACCACAAAAAGCAGGACTGGGGCAGGAAAAATGTTCTCAGATTTAGCATTTTGGTTTCAACACAGTCCTCTAAGCTTCCACATTGTCATCTGTCATGCAGCCCTGCAGTGCAATCTATCCTGAGCTAAGGCCCTTTGACTTGAGGTCATATTCAGGTCTCAGATCAGAGATGACATAATTAGCACAGATTCCAGCTTATATTTACAATCATCCCACTTCGCTTCTTTGAATATCTTCCTTGATCATGCATATAGGGTTTATAAGAAGCAGTCCTGGAAGTTTTCCTTCCAGAGCTCAAGTACTGCGACGAGTACTCTTCACCCCACCAAAATCTCTCTAACAGTCCAAAATTAAGGTCAAAGTTCCTCCCTATTTCATTCAACTTCTGAAGCATAATTCCAGAAATCCACGTGACCAGATCTAGCTAGCAAAAGGAAAAACAGTATCAATTCAAACTGCACCAGAGACCCAAGGTTTCCTAAATTTTTAAAACTGCCCATATCAAACAGCACAGAAAAGCAGCTGTGTAAGTGCCTCTGCCTCCAGCACATTCTGCCATCTTTACATCTATTAACCAGAAGAATCCAACCTCCCTGTGATATACCTGCCTGTTCCACCCTACAACCACAGGACCTCTAGCCCTTCCAGAAAGGAGGTCAGAGTACAGCAGAACTGTTAAATCTATATCACCAACCACTGAACTGGAATGAAGCACTTACCCATCTCTACCTTTACTGACGATCTTCACTTCAAAATAATAAATGCCACAGGCTGCAGGTATAGGGTGTGTAGCCCTGACTGAGGCAGCATCTTTGTGATTCTTGCCATGACCTAGGAAAGAACAGAAATATAAGTCCCAATGGGAGCTGAACCCTGCCACATTTTGGTCTGAAACACCACTACCAGAACACAGCAGGAACCTGTTTCTACATATCTACATACATCCAACAATTTGAAGCCCTCTTTTCAGACAACTGAAATATACAACCTTGTGCTGCCACCATGAACCGTCCCCTCATATAAGCACTGTATATTTTCTTTCATTTACACTGTGAAGTAACTGAGAAAGACTCACAGTAGCACCTGTCTCCCCACATACAGAATTTGAAGACGAATGTATACCAACATAAGACAAAAAAGATTGACATTAGTGTTTACTAACCAAGCAGGAAAAGGAATAATCAGCTCTCTGCTGGGTGGGTAGGGAGAACAGCTTCCACTGGCGAGCAAGGAAAACACCAGTGTGATTCCCCTAGTCCTACAAGTCCGCAGCCATCTCTTTTGTGTAAACTCACGGAGCCAAAGCCCCAGCTCCGCATCGACGCCATGCGGCTCTTTGCCCAGGTTTTAGGCAGGATGACGGAGTAAACACACGACTTGGATACACTGAGGCGCTCGGGCCCGGGCTAGTGAAATTCTAGAAGGCAGCACACTTCCCCAGGGTAAGAGCCCTTGGCTCCCGAACGCTTCCACTGCCCGAGCCCATAGAAACAGATGGCACGCCGGGCCAGCAGCCCGCCCCGAGGCCGGAGCTTGGCATCCCCCCTTCCTCACACTACTTCCCAGCCGAGTCGCCCCTTCCCCTGGGCTACCAGACCCGCTGCGGTCCCAGCGCAGACCTGGGTGCCGGCCGGGCAAGGGCCGCGCGGGGCCGCCCTGCTCCAGGCACAGGCCGAAGCCGAAACCGGCGCCGCCGCCCCAGCCCAGCACCTTTGTAGTGGACGCGGAGGTTGCTCTGCGAGAGGCCGATGTAGTTGTACTTGTCCTTAGGGCTCCAGGACCGCGGCAGCGGCGTCTCCTCCTGGTTGACAGCGGGGTAAAGCCTGCGGAGGCGCCGAATCAGGTCCTGTTCTTCGGGCGGACACGGCAGAGCCGCATCCCCTCCGTGCGAGATGCCCGCCACCACCTCAGCCATCTTGAATTTGCTTTGTGTCACCGGGCGGGGAGCGAGGCCCAGCTTCGGCCGCAGACCAATGAGCTGCGAGAGCAGCCACAATGGCGCCGCGCTGCCCGATGGGAAACGGAGTCTGCTCCGCCCCCGCCTGCGCATCTCCTTTACTCTCTGGGACTACAGCTCCCGAAAGGCTAGGCGCGTGAAACCCCCGCCCTCATCTGCGCGATTCACGGTGGAAAACGGCCCTGAGAGCGCCTCTGGGTCCGGGACTTCTGCTCCCATCGTGCTCCGAGGGAGTGCGGTGCTGAGGGGCCTCTTCGCGCCTGCCTCTGTCTTCCCGACGCCTGCGCGCAAAGGCCGGGGTGGGCTGCACCTGCAGAGGAGCCGGCGGCTCCGTGCCGGCGGCCTTGCGCCGGGGCCGACCGTTCTGCAGAGCCCGCCTCCTGGCAGGGTGGTGCTGGGCCGTGCTCGGTCTGCTGCCGCTGGCGAGCGGCAGCAGCGCGTCAGGCGTTGCCCTGGCAGCTATGACGGTGCGAAGGGGTCCTGGCAGAGGAATCGTCTCCATGGGGACGCGTGTAAACAGCAGATGCACAGCCAAGGCGGCGGGCCGCTTTCCGCCGGGCAGGTTCGGGCTGGGCCTGAAGGAGAGAGGAAGAGAAGGAGGGAGAGAGGGAGACGAAAGGAAGGAGGAAAGAAGAAAGGGAGGAACGAAGGAAGAGAAGGACGGGATCTGGGCGCCATAGGGAGAGCCGGGTGGAGCCGTTCTGTTCCTTCCTACGGTGGTGCAGCTCCGGCCCTGCGCCCCGGTAACTTCTTCCAGTTGCTGCTGCTTTTCTGTGCTCCCTGTAGCCAAGCGCACAGCACAAGCTTCCACGGCTCCTCGTGCCGGTGTAACTTTGCCGTGAAAGCTGTGCCGGGTACAATCTTCTCTGTGTCGTTGTGCTGACCACTAAGCAAGTTTCAGCGATTACACTGGGTTAGCTTTCTGCTGAGGTGATGACTGAAAGCAGCTTATAAAGAGGTCTGATAAGCCGTGGCAGCAGTACAAGGTAAACAGCGGGAGGATATGGCTGGGAGGAGGAGGTGCTCTGGCTTTTCAAGAGCGCTGAACTGCTAGATCAGCTCACAGTGTCTGAGGGAATCTCACCCAAAGGTGGGATTCCTTGGGCAAGCTGAACCAGTGCTTGGGATTTCTGCCTCCATCCTCACTGCTGCCAGCTGCAGAATTGCACAAGGGATCTTGTGTCTTAGTTTTTTAGGCAGCCTAAACTGGGGACCTTCAGGTCTTCCCTTTTATTAGCAAACTGAAACATCTCAGAGAGTTGTCCAGCATACAGTAGAGCTTACACTATGTAGGCACCAGGAGCCCATTGTAGTGGAGGAAAAACAGGACCTTCCCACCCAGCAGTGGCTGCACTGTTACCGCATTTCAGAGAGCTGCAGCTTGAGACTGCAATTTTGTACATGAGGGTGGGAGATCCAGGAGCCCACCAGATGCAGTCTCTCAGCCCAGTGCTGTGCTGGCCCTTGGTGGGCTCCCAGAAGTGAGGGCATTTTGCCCTGTGCCTTCCTCCCTGGAAAGTGGGTTGGAGGGTGAGAACTGCTAAAGGTACAACAGCTGCTTCCCCCTGAGGGTGAAGCCAGGCTGACAGCTGAAGCCAGGGCTCAGAGATCAAGCTGAGCCTGTGGTCATCTTGTTCAGTGCAGCACCTGAAAATTCACTGGAATCTCAGGGCTGCTTTTCTGTACCACAGCCACACTCATTTTCCCTACAATACGCATGCAAGTGTATGTTTACTTCTCAAAGCTTTTCACCTATACATGCCAGTTTCTAGTCTAGGAAAGAGTTCTTGGTTGTATCTGTCCTGTAGTTCCTACTGGCTGTCAGGCCATCTGTGCCATGGCCTGAGTGCCACCCCAGGAAACTGGCTTTGCAAGCACTTCTGGGACCCCACATCCTGCTTCTTGGCTTATGGGTGACAGGTTCTCTAGTGCTGTTTTGCATCTCTCCTCTTCAGAAGAGATGCAATTCATGGATGTTCTCACTGGGACAGCTGGGACAGTGAGGACAGTACCAATTGGTGTGCCGGTCACCAGATGGCAAATCCTGAGCAGATTCTAATCACTTAAATCTTTCATGTGTATATATATATATGGGGGGGGGTTGGAATGTATCAAAGCTGTCAGAGACCATGAGAAGGAGAAACTACAGCTGGCAATTAATAGTGACCTGTCCCTGACTGGTACTTGGAAGATGTTGGAACTGGCAAGGAACAAGGACATCGGAACTGAAAAGAGGATGTCGATAAGAAAATCAGATAGACCTTTCACCTGATGTAACCGCAAGGCAAACACAGATGTGCTTTGCTAATTGCTTGGAAGCATATAAATATCGTGTAATCTTTTCAATAAAGAGTCCAGCTTGCACTCTACCTCTGGGTCCATGCCTCCATCCTCACACCCTTGTACAACAGCCCACATCGAGGGAACATCTCTTACCTCAACATCTTCAGTTCTGCTGCAGACACCCATGTGTCGTAGTTTAAGCTAAACCCAGGACACCATGTCAGCTGAAAGGATAAACACTCCACTAGAGCATCCACCACGAAAGCTGCTGGGGCTTCCCAGGAGAGGCTTAGCTAGGAAACCACAGCAGAAGTGTTGCTTCTTTGGTTTGCCCTGTGTGGAAGTAGCAGAGCTTGTAATTTACCCACAGCCACAGTCAGCAATGCTCCCTTGCAGGAGGTGCCTGCCCCACAGGAGTCACCAACCTTCTATCATAGAATGGTAGAACGGTTTGGGTTGGAAGGGACCTTAAGGCTCATGCAGTTCCAACCCCTGCCATGGGCAGCGACACCTTTCACTAGATGTGTTCCTGCAAGCCCCATCCAACCTGGTTTGAACACTGCCAAGGATGGGGCAGCCACAGCTTCTCTGGGCAACCTGTGCCAGCGGCTCACCACCCTCACAGGGAAGAACTTCATCTTAACATCTAATGAAAATCTCCCCTCTTTCAGTTTACAGCCATCAGTTTAGGGCATCCATTCGCGTGTAAAAAAAATATTGTTTTTGCAGTTGGCCACAAGATGGCGGTTTAGGTGGGAAAACGTCGGCAGGCGCTGGGTTAGCGGTTACAATGTGCAGGAACCGTACCACCAAAGGAGGTTGGCCGGCGGGGCAGTGAGCTCTCAAGTGTTGAGTAATGCTATCTGTAATCAGGGCGGACTTCGCGCTGGTAACTGAGGCGCTTCGGATAGGCTGTAAACCTTGGAGTACCTCGCTATAGGGAAACAAGGGAGGGACTTTTAGGTCGGAGGCAGGTAATGAAAGGGAGAAACCTTGTAACCAGCATGTGCCTGCTTACCAGGACACCCGTTTTTGCTGAAACATTAAATAAATAGCTGCTTCATTGTTGAGTCTAACATTACACTTTACAAGAAAAAAAAAAAAGTTTATAACACAGGGAATCCTACTGCCATGAGAAGGATAAGAGCACTCAGAGGTGAGGGGCTTGTAGGAGATTGGGAGCTGATGCCTTCTGAAGGTCCCAGCAGGGTGGTGGGGACTGTGTCCCTGTCACTTCTTATCCTGCTGCCTTGAAAAGGGCTCTGGCTCCATCCCCTCCCTGCCCTCTGTGGGGTGCTGGGGGCAGCTCAGAGAGAAGGTGGCCCGGCTGGCTCTGGTTGAGGCTGCCCAGCCCCAAGCCTCCTGGCCTCACCTCACAGAGCCCATGTCCATCCCCTGCCAAGCTTACTGCCCCGTGCTAGACTTGCTTCAGTGCCTTGCTGCAATTCTGGCACTGGGGAGCCCAGAATGGACCTAGTCCCCCAGAATGGTCTTCCTAGTGTCACAGTGAGGGGAAGATTCCCTCCTTTCATCCCACTGATTGCCTTCTTGCCTGTACAGCCCAGTGCAGGCTGGTAGTGCTAGGAGAGGATGGGAAAAGTCATCACCACTCCCTGGTGGAAAGCCCTGCAGCCAACAGAACAGTTTCTTTCCTTCCAGCTCTCTGCTCACGCTTGGGTTTCCAGGCCATGGTGATAGTGCAGGAGGTTGGAGGGGGACTGTCCCTGAAGCCATCACTACCTTTATGGCCACTGGGACTTCTCTGCCGAAATGGCTGCAACACTATGAGGTGAGAGGGGACATGGGGGGATGTGTGGTAGTTGAAGGCTCTGACTTAACTATTCCCTGGCTTCTCTGGGTGCTGCAGCAGGACATCTCACCTGATGACACCTCTGCCCTCCTGCAGTCACTTTGTCACGAAACACCAATCTGCTGCTCAAGCTGGACTAACACCACTGCTCCCTGCTCCTTTGCGCAGGTGCTGGCAGCACTCTCCTGGGCACTATAAAGCCTCTGCCATAAACTCCAGCATCTCTCCAGTGCCTTTGCCCAAGTGCCCAAGGGCCCTCCTTAGCTTTGGTTTGGGAACTGGCGCAGCCCTGTGGCTCCTGCCTGTGCAAGAACCAACAATGTACCCCAAGGTGCAGGGTACTCATGACTTCCTCACCTCAAGGCATGGTCTCATTCCTACAGCTTCCCCTTTGTCATGGTCCATTTGGATCTCTCAAATATATAGGACAATATACTCTGGGATTTAAACTTTTATTTCATGATCTTATAATCTGTAACTCTTAGTGTCTGGCACCTGTGAGAAAAATGAAATCAATTACCTAGCTGGCAATGAGAGTGCTTCTCCTCTCTCTTCCATCACAGTGGAGGCAATCTCACTGTCTGGCTCCCTGGAAGTCTCGGATGCTCCATGGAAGATCCTGCTGTTCAACATGGATTTCCTGACTGATGCCTGCAGCTCATACCTTGTGTCCATGTCGATCAGATGATTTGAGGGGCAGTAGGTCTCTCTTATGGCTCCCTGGGAATAAGAGCAAAGCAAGTGAAGACATACCAGTAGCTGGAGAACATCTTTAAGGGAGACAGTGTCTGCCTGCCAAGTGCTGTCATGAACCACCTGATAGCAGAGGCATCCAGAGACATGCAAACAGCTCAGGTGACCTTGCTCTCTTTCAAGGCCACCAAAGCAAGCTGTCTCGGTCCCTGTCTTTTGCAAAATACAGAGTGGCACAGAGATGTTCTTTGATTGTTCATTCAGACCCAGCAGAGGTCCTAAAAGAGAGGCTCTTTCTGACTAAGCACTACAGGGAGTTTCA